TTTATCCTATTTTTTTCCATATTTTTATCATGGACTTTCGTTCATTGCGCTATGATTTTGCAAATTCCAGTTTTCAATTATTTTGAATGACAGTGAATGACCGTTAACCTTTCGGAAATGAAATGCACAAGCTATATTAATTGTCTATATATTTTGGATTCCATTGATATTTAGCATGAGGCTTACTGCCTGTCAAGCATGTTATCTTCCTATATAAGATAAGGCTGATGTCAGAAATAAACTCGTAATATCCATCATTACACAAACACATTTCAGCTTCCTGTGAGGTTGATCCATTATGTAGAAGGTAAAGGCAGGTCATTAGAATGAATGTTTTTCAAGTTTCAACATGTCACAGGTTAGAATTCTTGATATTATTTTAGGTATTGAGACTCGGTTGTTTCGTGGTGTTTGTAGATTGTTGCTATCTTTTGATATTAGAAGCTTTGGATAAACAAGCATTAACAGACAATGCACTTTTGCAGGAACAAATATATCCCTCTTGCTGTTATATACACTAATATGTACACATTCACTATGTGCAACCTTATTTTCTGTCACATTTTCTTGTTTCAACATATCCTATTTATAGGTTTGCCTTGAGACTGACTGAAATAACTTTTATGGCATTAACTTTGGACCTTGTTGATTAGCACTATGATGAATTGTATAGGAGGAATGTAAATAGGAAAGTTTACCTTGTGGGAACTTATTTTCATTGCATCATTACTTGTGTGAAAGTATAAAGGTTTAGGTTTGTAACAGCAGGATTTGTGGATTACTTTTTAAAATTGCATTGCAATCTTTCAAGTTGTATTTTCTTAGGTAAGACCTTAAACAAACAGCATTAGTTTCTGAAATGTGTTTAGTGGAGCCACAATCTGTTGAATGGTAATAAAAGAGTTTAGAGTGTATGTCTGTCTGTGTGTACATTTGCCTTTTGCTTTTGCATTTTATGGTTTGATGTTGAGTTCTTCAGGGAAATGTCATTTTCACATGTCCAGTGGAAAAGTTACTGTCATAATGAGATATGTACATTGCAATTATATATTTTTTTGCGAGACATTGTCATGAAGCTTACCCCTCCAAAAAATAATTTGTAGGCATTATGGACAACAGCAGTCTTATGCCAGCCTTTTACCGTGAAGAGGCTAATAAGCTCCTGGCCAAGTATTACCCCATTGAGATCGACCCAAAGATGTCGGAGGAAGAGAAGATTCCGTACATGATCGAATGGTACAATCAGATCCATGAGCTAATCATTAAATGCAAGGTCAGCCAGAAGTCTCTTGAAGAGATGGTCAGCAGTAGTAATGCCAGATTAAGGTAAAAGTTTACACATCATCTTTTATTCTTGTTGGCTTTCTCTCTCCTATCATGATACACTGTGTTTACGTTGGGTGCCATTGGTCTCTCTCTTTTTCCCATTAGTTATGAATATTTTTTAAAGTTAGGTCAGTTATTTTATATTGTTCTATTGTATAACTGAAATTTTCTTTGCCTCTCCAGAGATGGAACTCGGGATCTGTGCAAAAAGCTTCATGAGTATGGTGTTCCAGTGCTAGTTTTCTCAGCTGGAATGGGGGACATATTGGAACAAGTATTGCGTCATTTTGATGTTTATACGGACAACCTTAAAGTGGTGTCAAATTTCTTCAAGTATGATGAGGAGGTTGGTTTATGGAATAATTTTGTTTTGATGTAGATGATCTAATAAAAGATAAGTAGAATTATCAAATGGTTCTACTTTTAGGAAAATGGACAACTTAGATAATGTATACAACTTAAGGCCTTGAATTTGCCTTTTCATTATTCCTTTTTTTGTCTACATTATTCCATTTCTTTTGGTAACAGGGAATAGTCGTTGGTTTTGAAGGTGACTTGATCCACATGTTCAACAAAAATGAGAACGCCATCCACTCATCAGACTATTTTGACAAATTGACCGGGCGGAACAATGTGATCCTTCTTGGGGACTCTTTAGGGGATATTAAGATGGCCGTTGGAGTTCCGCAGCCAAGTAATGTATTGAAGATTGGCTTTCTGAATGACAAGGTAAGGGTTCTTAGTCATTTTCTGTGTCTATATAATTTGTTATTGTTGATGCTATTACTTCTGAAGATAGTAGTTGTCTGTTTGTTCGTTTTGTGTGTGGTTGTGAAACAGATTCTTTTCCTGAGATAGAAAGTCTCATTTTTCAGGAATATATTTATGGGCTTGTGTGTATGTATGCATGTGCTTGAATGTGTGTGTCTGTTGTTTGTTTGTTTAATTTTAGAATATAGAGAAATTGCTCAATTAGGTATTTTTCCTTAAGCTTTATCTAATGCAAGTGAAATTGTTTCAAAATCCTCATTTTCTAGGTAGCTGATATGTGTATAATGCATAGGATCTTTGGATATGTCTCTTTGCTTATACAATTAAAATTGTGTTATCATTTTTGCACTTATTGTTGGTAAATTTAATGATAATTGACTATGAATACTACTAATAGTGGTAGATTGATTTAATTAGTAATAAATTATTAAATTTTATGTTTGCTTATGAGTCATTAATTGCTTTAACCATTAAATGAATTTTGATTCTTACCTTGAAGCTTATGGTATAGAAAATTGATTGGAAGTAATTATTTTGATGAATGACCCTATCCATGCATGCCATATATGGGTTTAATGGTTTCATTGCAGTATGATTTATTCTCACATTTTTTCCAGGTTGAAGAAAGACTGGAGGCCTACATGGATGGGTTTGATATTGTATTAATTGATGACCAAACAATGGATGTAGTTAACTCTGTAGTGAGGCTTATGGAATAGTTCGGCCAGATTATTGACTTCAAAGCATTAAAATCAGGTTGTCATATGTGCAAAAAGCAATTTGTTAAGTGGTTATGCAAATGTCATTAATCAAAGGGAAGTTATGTTTGCACTACTGCTTCTGTACACAAAGCACCATACTTTCTATGTGTATGGAAAAGCATTTACAATTTAGGGTGTGGGGATTTTAGCATGAGTTTGAATGAAAGTCTTAGATGTTTTAGTGCATTTTTTAACTCGTTAGTTAATCGTCGTGTTCTTGAAGAGTCTGAAAAAAAAACTTTTATTTGCTACCAGGTATGAGTATGATTTTTTTTGTACTCGGTTGTCATGCTTTAACATGACTGTCAAGAGAATGTAATCTTCAATTGGTGTATTCCAGTTTGTAATGCGCATAAAATAGCATGATTTGGTTTTCAAGGCCAATGTGTTCAATATGTCTGTAAGAAATATTCAGGTCGAGATATTTCCATTTCCAAGATTAACAATTATTTCAATTATTTATAAGAAATTAATGGCAGTAGAATCAAATTATTTGTTACTTGGTTCTTAAAAATATAATCTGGACCAGTAACATATTTGTAATGGAGTATTAAAATATTACACGATGTCCAAGTTGTATTTTTAAAAAAGGCTTATATGTTGATGCATCTGTTCCTAAATAATTTAAAATTGCCAAATTACATAAAGATAATCAGTTTTAAAAAATAGTAAAGAAAAGTTTAACATGTTGAGGGCAAATATACATGTAAAATTCACTCTGATTTTAGTTTATTATCATTATTTTTTTCCACATTTGACTCCAGAAGAACTTGGTCAGAGGAGTCAGTCATTTCAGTAATTTTTGCTATTAGTCTTTCAGTAATAGTTATATTTGTAATCTTATTTTTGCTTAGTCTTGTTGATAACATTACAGTGTACATAATGTCTGTAATAATAATAATAATAATAATAATAATAATAATAATAATAATAATGGTAATGATAACAACATCAACAGTAATATTTAAAACAAATTAGGAAAAAAAGCTTTAACTGAAAATTCAGAGTGAAGTAATCAGGTAAGGTCTACTAATTGACTCCTTTGGTGACGAAGTGCTTACGGAACCCCTCTCAATAAACAAAATTAATAAACTAAAATCATAGTTAATGTGACATGTATTTTTGCACTCTTAAGTACCAATAGGTGAATTTAGGATCAATGAATTACTCTTTAGATTTGATAATGACTATGTAATATGTATGAAGAAAGAACTGTATTTAAAGTGTGAGTGAACAAATCCTCCTGGAAGTATTCTCTAGACAGAATATGCTGGTAGAAAAAAGTATCTTGTCCACCTCAGTGTAAACCTGAATGATGTTACGCAAGTTATAAAAAAAACATATGATGATAAAAATGGGTATTTCAAATGCTTACAGAGGATTCCTTTGTTAAAATGGTTGTTAAAGGTGGAAGTGATGTACGTGTTGTCTCTTATAAATGAGTTGTATTATCTTAAGTGAATACTTTTAATTGGAATTGGATATAACAGTAATTTTAATTTTTTCTATCAATAGTAAATTCCCGTAATACTATAATACCTTATTGTAAAAGGAAATGTTATATCTTATTTATTTATAAGTATTCCATCATGTGAAAATGAGTCATTTGTTTTCCAGCTGTACAACCACATCTAGTAAATCATTAACTACCCAGACAATAAATTTATGTAGCAGAACTTGCGTTACAAATAAAATTTTGGAGATTACAAACCAGATCTAAAATTCCTAGTCAAAAAGTATTTAACAGGATGTGCAATGTAGTAAATATTAAACTAAGACAAAGGTTTAGTTTTTACTTGTTGCAGACACTTGTCATTGAGTTTGGGTGAAGTGCTTGTGACTACCTACATCTTGGGTGGAATGGTGGCTAAAATTAGTCTTTCACTTTAGCATTGGTAATGTGTGTAGCAAGTTCAAGTAGACCAACACAAGCAGACCATATCCACTGAATAGATGGGAAAGTGAAAATGTGGCTTTCAGTAGAATACAGTTATGCTTTTTTTTTTCTTTTTTTTAGTAGATTAAAGAGTCTGTTTACAAACAATAACATGTATAAATAGTTTTATCATTATCTTCAGCTTTGACCATGCCCATGGTCGGGCAAAAGCACCAGATAATGCCATCTGCCTGATAGTTTGGCCATTTACTGCTGGGTATAGATAAACAACTCGTCCAGACACCAGCACCCATGTGTACAACACACAGACTTTGCACAGTAAACCATCAAAATCCACTGGGTACTGTTCAGTTATATGCAGGTGGCCTTAGGGTTACATATGCAATACCTGCTGATTATCAGAATACATAAAGTCAGTGTTGTTGAAAAGAATGCAGTAATTTTATGAAAATTATAAAGAAAAAGGTTCTGATTTTATTTATGGTAAAAAATAATAATATATTACCAATAAATTAGCAGGAATTTATTTGTATTACCACCAAATGAAACTGAATTTTTTAATGGAAATTACATTGAATTGTTAATTCATCTAGTAAAGTTGATAAGCATATAGCAATAAAAGTACAGTATTAGCCAAGGCATGTTCACTTTACATAAATTAGGTACACATTTGGTATTTTGGCACTATTGAAACCTGCCTGCAATACCAACTAATTTTGGTGGTTTGTTAATTTTTAAAACTGAAATAAGTTTTGCTATTTACTTTTGAAATCAGTTGCTGTCTATCTAAGTCATTTGCCAAAAATGGAAAATTTTAATCTTTAATAGTAAAAAATATTTTAGTAATAGCTTCCAACTCACAGTCTGTACAATGTAGGTTGTTTCTTATTTCATTTAAGGATTAAAAGTATTTAAATTGAGATTTTTTTTTACTGAATATCGTTGTATTTGTGTTAAAGATAGGAGCTATAGTTTGGAAATTGTTAAGTGTTATCAGGATGGGATATTATAAAAATAGAAAATAATTTTAACAGTTAAAAACAGAGCACAAGGCAATGCTCAAATAGATGTAGATAACCTAGTAAGCTTTTTTGTATTTCTTTGCTTTTTATACTTCTGAATTGGCTTGTTGGTGGTTTGATAAATTTCAGTGGACATGGCAGTAATAAATGTAAAAGTTACTCTAGTCGGTGGTAAAGTTTGATACCTTGGTGAAAAGCCAACTTGCAAATGGTGGACATATTGGAGCTCTTGTATATTTCATTAATACCTAATGACTATTTTTCAGATATTGTTACCAATGGCTACCAAAGGATATACCTTCCTACAATACATTTAGAAAGCCCCCAAAATAACAAGAAAAAATCTGCTGCATCAACTAACTGTTAATCAACATAAACTGTAGACTAATTACTATTTTTTTTTGCTGAATGTAGATCTGATTTAACACCAGTTGATTATGTAAAAAATACAAAAGGACTGCTTGTAAATAACATTAAGTGCTCATTTGTGCTTGGTTCAATGTATTATTCCTTTTACACAAGGATTTTTCCACAATCTTTTGTCAATCAATGAAGGTATGGTTATTAGTCATACAACTTCCACTTGACTGTTCAAAGTTGAAATTTGCTTATTTTTGTAATAAACTTTATTGGAACAAATACATATCAACATAAACTTTCATCCTTTTGTTTTAGTGCCTTATTTTGATCACCAAGAATGCTTACCCCAACCGAACTAGGGTTATAATTAAAATATGCTCTTGTATTTTTTTCTAAAAAGCCTTGGACATTAAAGTTATCTTCATTGAAAATTTTAAATGCACAGCTGCAACTATGTAAAAATGCATCCAGAAACTGTATCAAGAATACACTTCATCCTCACTATTCTTACTTCCCTTTTTTTAAATATAAAGCTTGTGTAGTTCCTTATTTTCTCTATAATTAGAAAAGGTCTCATACCCAAATTTGAATGAAACAAGGGACTTATTAACTGCCAGTGATGGCAAATATGCCAAGCCCATCATGTTTAGTTTGTCTTTACAGAGCTTCACAAGTACTTCAGATACCAATGAACCATTTACTAGTACTACCTATCTATGTTTAACTTTTTTCATCTTTTATTGCTGTTAGTAATATCCATATTACATTATTATGTAATAATAGCATCAAAATGTTTGGCTTTAGTTAAACCTTTTTTCTGGAAAATCAGTTGAGGTCAAGAGATCTACAAACTGACTTTATGGTGGCTAAGAACTTGTAGAGACAAAGCATAACATTTTTTTGGCAGCATTATGTTAATGTAGGTAACTGCAGTTAAAGGAAGAACTTTAAAGAAGGAAATAGAAACAAAAAAGTACCTGTACATAATATATTTGTAAATTAAAATGGGTTCAGATCCCCTATACAAATTATTAACATTTCCTTACACAACATGGAAAGATTCCCACAGACTTGGGAAATGTACTGTCATTATTTAAAGTTGTATCTTTTCTTTATTATCACTTGCCCTGTTACTAGCTTTTATCGCTGAATCATTATGTTCCCAACTAATCATAAATACGTAAAATGTATTCTTTTTTATTGGTCATACACACTCTCTAGGGCAAGCTCAGGTTTGTCATAGCCCATTTCTTCTGGGGTGCTGATGCCCAACTGAGCCAGTGTTGGCTGGATCTCCTACAAAACACGAGACAAATTTGTATAAATATAAAATCTAATAATAAATTATCCACCTCATACGACAGATCATTACAAGTTTGATTCAATATAATTACTTGATATTCCATTAAATAACAATTAAAAATTTGAAAACCAGAGTAATGTTATAGATAATCAGTTTAAGCTTACCTGTAAAACATAGGGATAGATTTCCTTTTGTTTGGCACCACACTTGTCCTTGATTGCCTCAATGAAGCGCACTGCCAGGGCATAGTCATTGCAACGACGGCAAGCATTCAAGGCAGCAACAATGATCTTGGGCTCAGGAACCAGGTCCATACCACACAGATCATTCATGGCCTGAATTTAATTTAACAATTAATGCTGGTACTTGTACAATTTGTTACAAACCAGGAAAAAACAAACTCCATGATAGATAAGTTTCACTTTTCTTCCTCTTTTACCTATTATAAATTTTGGATATACAGCAAGACAAAAAATAGGCAAAACTCACCTTGCGAACTTCCCAACCATCAATGTCTGGTCGGGAGAAGTATGCTTCATAACGGGCATCAAATTCAGCATCTGTCTCCGTTGAATGCTTGGACATGCTACGGCTGGCTGTCGCTGTAAGAAATCAAAAAAGGTTTCATTACGAATAACTAAGACAACAAAACTGTCATTATAATTTTTACTTCTTTAGAATGTGTTGAGCTTTAGTAATGGAAGAATTTGTGTATGTTGCAAACTTATCTAGATAAGTCAATAATGCAACCCCAAAAAGGGCAAACACAAATGGACAGTCAAAATCTGCTATTTACATATATTAGGTTATCATCCTAAGAATCTAAAAATCTCCCTGCTACATGGAGCCAAAGGAAAGTACTAAACACTGTAATCATCTTTTGGGATTGTGGGGCAAGGGGAATACAAATCATAATAATCATAATAAATTTAAAACATTGGAAGATCAGTGGCTGTATTGGGTATCTTATTTCACCTGCAATATGGTTATGATTTTTCAAGCAGTACTTAGGCAAATTTTGGTCTTTTGCATTTGAAGACCTTAATTTTATTCCCAGTTATCAGTTTACTTACCTTGCATGAATGAAAATGTTAGACATTGCCATAAAAAGATAAAAATGTATAGGAGAATCCAGTCATACAAAAAATAAAAAGACAATGTTTCACCATAGGAAATAGTTTGGGTGTGTGGATGGGGATCTTGCCTGGATGAAATATGACACAGGACCAGAATTACTACGTTTCATTCATAAGGTTGAGGTAGGAAAATGGACTGTGCCATTGGCTCACGCAGAGAATCTACATGGGAATTGAGGATACAGGGGTGCTATCATGGGTGTGGTTGATTGGAAACTTGCCAGACATAAGGCAGAGGATACTATTTCATTCATTATTAAAAAAGTCGCAGGAAAAAACTCCACTAGCCTTGCCAAAATTATAGAATATGACTGTAGCACACATTAAGCAACTAACCACTATTGAGGCAAATAAGAATTTAGTGGTTATGCATGCTAGTATTGCAAGTAAGACTATTTGCCTCTTTGCACAAGAATGTCTCACCACTCAGTTCATAGCTGTTCCAGTCTGAACTCCCCAAATGTTAAGGAGGAATTAGCCTTCCCACTTATCATAAACATTTACATTTTCAATCTTGTTCAAAACTTCCAGCATCAACAATTATTTCACATAGAACTATCCAGAGCTGTCTACTGTACAGCAAGCCTTTGTCAACTGGAGGATCTACAGAAGATTATTTCTTAACTATAGTTTACTGCATTTTATATTCTATCATTGGTTTATCGGGTTCTGTCTTTGTAGGATAGTACTAAAATATATATGACAAGCACTTTCTTGGGCTCATAGTAACACTGATCAAGATTGAAGTTTGGTTGTCTGCTATATTGTCGCCTCACATGTGAAATCTCTCTCTCTGAACTCATAGTATCACTTCTGCTGTGTATCCTGTTAATTCAATTTTGGAAGAGAATCTGGGCCCATAATCATCTAATAAATCGGTAGAGGTTGAAGACCGCGACGCGCGTAGATAGAGGAAAATGGACACCGCCATGTTATAGAGCGGGAAAAATAGAAGGGATAGCGTATAGTTTAAGATGCACCGGCCTTATAGTCACCGCTAAATGAGGAAAATATAACGCGGCGGCCGCCTTTCAAATTCAAAGTCGATGAGCTTGTTTACCTTGCTAGGAAAAACACGACACTGACCCCACGAACGCATTTTTGCGTTCGCGAACTAGTCCGTGTATCATTACGCTTGTCAAAACGATATTTGGCTAACTATCTGTGTCTGCTGGTACGCATTTATACCTTTAAAGTCTTTTAGTAATGTTAATATACTTCAATTGCATATTTTTATATTTATCTATACCCCCATATCGAATCCTGCGCATCGAGTGTTTTCACACTTTCTTGCGCCAGCCAAGGTTGACAGCTCACCAACCCGCTCATTTCGAGATTGAAAGCCGGTGAGAAATGCTGCGTTTCCAGTGTTGTGTTTGTTCTGGGTTCTTTTTTAAGACCTTTACAGTGGCATCGAAGAACAATTCGACTTCAGTAACCATCCAGTTTTATATCTGAGCCCATCAAGAGCTCCAAAGGACGAAAAAGGTGATTAAAATCGAAGCCAATCCCAACAGTACAAGAAACGAAAGTTTCACGTTTCCGGATATTAAAGGTATTTGGTTTATTATTTTACGGTGTGAATGCAGCTCTGTCTTGCCGTACATACCGTGGTGGAGAGAATGTGTCCTGGGGGGTGTTGGGGGGCTGCCCCCCATCAACCCTCCCCTCGGCAGTGCCCGAAGGGCACGCCTAGTCACGGCAATTTATATTGATATATTAGGTTGGTTGGTTTATTGGTCAATACGTTTTTGGGGGTTGGAAGGTGTGAATTCCCGTAGATTTTTTTGCCGAAATGTGGTTGGGTTCCCGTAGATTTTTTTTAATTTGCGTCAGTCCGTAAACTTCAAAGATGGCGGTTACATCCGTAGAGTTTCATTGGCCGATTTTAAGCGCTTTTTGTGCTAGTTTTACGCATTTTTGATCGTTATTCTTCTTATTTAAGCTTGTTTTACCCCATTTCCCTGATATACTTCATGCCTCCCCTGCTAACGGGACTATCAAATCAAGATCGTCGATGGAGAAATGGTTCGATCTCTCCTGAACGATTCATTCGCAAAAGAAACAACGCCGAAATCGATGAAATCATAGGATTTCATGCTGAAAAACATCATTTTTTTCGACTTTAGTCTCTGCGAGGGTGCGTCGCGGTCTTCAACAATTACCATCAAATCTATAAAACTGGCTATGATTTCCCCATCAAACCATTCATTCAGTGAGCATTAAAGAGATTTATAAGGTTAAAGAAAACAAACTTAACTAATCCCATTTGTTTTAGTTTTTTATTCTTATTCTACTCTGGATTTTTTTTTACAGTATTGACATGCTCATCAGAGACAAAGTCCCAAAACCCAAACCAAAACCCAAACACTGGTCATGGAGGCTTGTTTACCCCTTGCTAGAAAACCGACCTGACACCACACGAACGCTATTTTTGCGTCGCGATAACTAGTAACCGTGTATCAATTAAGAAATCGACTATGTCCAACGATATTTGCATAAATTAAATCTGTAGTACATGCGAGTACGCCATATTATACAATTATAAAGATCATTTTAAGTAAATGTTATATCTGTCAAATTGCAATATTTTTTTATAATATTAAATTCTATACACTGCACCCATTATCGAGATCAATAGAGAAAATAAGGAATATAATATAAACTACTGGCGCCCAAAGCACAAGAGATCATATTGAAGACAGCATCAAACGAACAAACAAGACATAATAATTAGAGATTAGAAAGCCGAGATGGAAATAGCACTAAAAGGATTATACCAGTAGATTAGATAGGTAATACTGAGAATATCATATATATGAATATAAAGAACATTATAGTGGAGCATAAGGATTAGAATAACCAAAGTAAACCTTATCCCCAGTTTTATAGCTGAGCCCATCAAGAGCTTCCAAAGGACGAAAAAGGTGATTAAAATCGCAGCAATCCCAACATACAAAGAAACGAAAGTTCACGTTCCGGATATAAGTATTTGGTTTATTATTTTACGGTGTGAATGCACTCTGTCTTGCCGACATACCGTGTGGAGAGAATGTTTCCTGGGGTGTTGGGGGCTTGCCCCATCACCTCCCCTCGGGCAGCCCGAAGGGCACGCCTAGTCCGGCAATTTATATTGATATATTAGGTTGGTTGTTTATGGGTCAATACGTTTTTGGGCGGTTGGAAGGTGTGAATTCCCGTGGATTTTTTTGCCGAAATGGGGTTGGGTTCCCGTAGATTTTTTTAATTTGCGTCAGTCGTAAACTTTAAAGATGGCGTTACATCCGTAGATTTCATTGGCCGATTTTAAGCCTTTTTGGTGCTATTTTACGCATTTTGATCGTTATTCTTTTATTTAAGCTTTTTTACCCCATAATTTCCTGATATACTTTTATGCCCCCCCTGCTAACGGGACATCAATCAAGATCGTCGATGGAGAAGGAACATTACTCTCAAACTAGAAAGTCGCAAAAAAAACAACGCCGAAAATCGATGAAAATCAGGATTCATGCTGAAAAACATCATTTTTTCGGACTGTCTCTGCGGGGTCGTCGCGGTCTTCAACAATTACCATCAAATAATAAAAACTGGCATGATTCCCCATCAAACATTCATTCAGTGAGCATTAAAGAGTTTAAAGGTTAAAGAAACAAACTTAACTAATCCTTTGTTTAGTTTTTTTTATCTTATTCTACTTCTGGATTTTTTTTACAGTATTGACATGCTCATCAGAGACAAAGTCCCAAAACCCAAACCTTGGTATGTATGGCAAGACAGAGCTGAAGCTCCAGAGCAGAAAGTGGAGTTAGGCTGTGAGTGTCTTTTCCACAATATTTTTCCTTTTATTTGTGATGCTACCATTAATGTCTGGAGATTATTATTTGTGCCAATAACTGCAACTTTTTATCCTAAGAATACCATCTTCAATTTGTTCTAGCTTAGTACAACCATACTGCAAAGATTAACCCTATTACTTTGTACATTGGTATCAAATATTACAATATGCCCTTTATAATTATAATGTTCAAAAATTTTGCAACAAAAGGTACAATTTCAAGTGGATTGGGATGAAACAGGCCACAAGGAAAATACCCTATTTATATATCTTCTGCTAGCATCTTCGAAACAATTTGCAAAACTTTTCTGTTTTTATTTCTCTTCACCAATCTTATACTTTCAAGCAACAAATACACAACTTTTGCTTAGTTTACATATACCAATATCATTAGTGTCACTCAAAAACACTGACATATAACAAAAACTAAGCAAATTAAGTGTAGCATATCACTTTTCATATTTGGTTCATCTTTATGGTATGGACGCACTACACTAGGGCTAACTGAAGACAATATTCTTGTAGAGGATAAAACGTTGCAGTTGATAGTACAAGTAATAATCGGCAAGCATGAACAGCAATACCACATATAAAGGAAAAATATTGCAGAAAGTCCCTATCCGAGCCTAGATCTACTAGATACTTACGACTCTTAGCTCTATCTTGCCAACAGATATATTAGAAGCAAATAGAGATTTTCTGCAATAGCCACTGTCCTTGTGGGTGCTAAGAGAATACTCTTAAATTAAGTTACCGCAGAGTTAAGTTGTTGGTTACGAGGCGAAAAAGGCTGGACTTGGTCGCTGGAAGCATGTGGGGATTTTGTCTCTGCATGGTATTGTCACAACCTATTTTATTAATTTTTGATGCTATTCTTTTCCTGCACAGATCATATACATCAGTGGGTGTAGTTTTTGCATAACTTTATGGCAGTGGCCTTATTGTGTGGTTGTTATGGTAATATGAGATATACATAAGCCCTCAGTAAATTATATGACTCATAATCAGCATGGCATTAGTGAAACTTGCCATCAATATCATATTTCTAATGGGTCATTGTTCGAATATCTTCACATGACCAATCCCAACGAAAGTGGCATCAATGAATTCCTCTAATGCTGCGTTTGGAACTCCTCGTCCTGCTTGTCCAGACAAGTTGGACAAGACGTTTTGACCATTCGGAACCTCTACTTTCTCGTCCTGGACAAGTTGTCCATCTCATCCTCCTGTGAAGCTGGGCAAGCAGGACGAGATGCCACAAAAGCATTTGTATGTAAACATTGACAGTTACAGGGTAATTTTATGGTCTTTTAACCCAGACAGCCTGTGGTCACAACAGCCAGGAATACGGTGCACAGCATGGAAATGGCGTCCTCGATGGAGCTGCCGCTCTTCCGGTCACTGCTTATGCATGTTACATTCCACATTTGTTTATCAATGGGAATAAATCTAAAGCCCTCTTCTAAGTGCCAAATGAGTCAAATCACACTCCAAGAGGTTTGTGCACTCGTGGCGAGTCCTTTCCGTTACCCTGGCCCTCGCTCATGACGGCAGTTCACATCACCCGGGTAGCTGCTCAGGTTTTTGCTTGAAGTGACCGCAACGTCATCCGGGTCCAAGGGGTTGATAATATTATAAAAGGATATTTTTGTGTCAGTCAGTTGCAGGTGAGTTAAATATGCATCAATGGAGTTACAAACTTACGCAGCATGTAAAATAAAAGACACCGTTATGATAAGAGTGAACGTTTACTTTCAAGCCAGTTGCATTCCGGGCAGCGAGGGTCTCAGAGGCTCCGAACGCAGCCTCCTTATCTTGCTGGTCCTGACAAGTAGTCTGGATGAGCAAAAAGCGGAGTTCTAAACACAGCAGAATCCTCTACTATCCATTTAAGTGGGACATTTGCCACAAAATGCCCCAAACCCCGCATTCTTGGTCCCAAAAGAAGGGTAGGGCATGAAAGGTACATTGCAAATTATGCAAATATGGCCTTTCTGCCCAAATTTACCCACTTCGTAAATAGGCCTAAATATACATTGGGAATCGCAACCCATTAACCAACAAACACTCCATTTCATCCTTTCCATCATTCATTACACACTCCCAGCCTTAAAGCCCAACAATAAGCTCTCAACCAGAAAATAAACCGAGCCAGAGATAAGAAATAAGGCCAACAAAGTCTGTCTTCTCCTTACTCTCCGTTCACCTTCACGGAGGTTTCCCCTTCGTCACGTACACAAGTTATCTCTCCCAAAATCCCCATTTCCCCCTCCACTCACCCGCAGGAATCCTCGAGGAAGTCTCCAGCAGAGATGCCTTGGCGACATGGCTGACCCTCGTGAGCGCAGAACGGAACATCTTGGAGGAAATCAAGGAACTCGAGAGAGTGTGTCGTCTGGGCGGCCGGTTGCGAGCGATGGAGGATCAGCTGAACGAGGCCGGAGGGTCGGCAATGGACGTGGTTCTCAGGGATGGCTGGCTTGGTTGAGGGCGATTTTGGCCTATTTCTAAGGGAAAATAATGCTTTTTGGGTTCATTTTCGGGTCTTAGGTAATACGAACTGTATACATGTTGCATTGAGATCTTAAA